ACATTCCTGTTAATGTTGATGTTTTGACCTCCTCTCATGAATCACAAATGTTCTTAATGACATCTAGAGTGGTAAATCCTTTCCAGAAGGTTTTAAATTTACTTTGCCCAGATCCATCACAGGAATCACTGTCTATGGCAGCTATATAGCCTTACAAAATGTATTTCTTTTTCTTTCTTTTAATTTTTTTTAACGTTTATTTATTTTTGAGACAGAGACAGAGCATGAACGGGGGAGGGTCAGAGAGAGGGAGACACAGAATCTGAAACAGGCTCCAGGCTCTGAGCTGTCAGCACAGAGCCCGATGCAGAGCTCGAACTCATGGACCGCGAGATCATGACCTGAGCCGAAGTCGGCCGCTTAACCGACGGAGCCACCCAGGCGCCCCCTTTTTTTTCTTTTTTAAGTGAGTGGGGGGAGGCGTTGAGGGAGGGGGACAGAGGATCTGAAACAGTCTCTGTGCTGACAGCAGCAAACCCGATGTGGGGCTTGAACTTGTGAACCGTGAGATCATGACCTGAGCTGAAGCTGGACGCTCAACCAGTTGAGCCACCCAGGCGCACTGAAATATATTTCTTAAATAATAAGGCTTGAAAGATGAAATCACTCTTTGGCCCATGGGCTGAAGAATGGATATTGTGTTAGCAGGCATGAAGACAACATTAATCTCCTTGTACATGTCCATCAGAGCTCTTGGGTGACTAGGTGCATTGTCATTGGAGCAGTAATATTTTGAAAGGGATCTTTTTTTCTTGGCAGTATGTCTCAACAGTGGGCTTCAGATATTCAGTAAGCCGTGTTGTAAGTACATGTGCTGTCACCCAAGCTTCCCGTTCCATTTACAGAGCACAGGCAGAGTAGATCGAGCATCATTCTTAAGGGCCCTAGCATTTTTGGATGGTAAATAAGCATTGGTTTCAACTTTATATCACCAGCTGCATTTGCCTCTAACAAGAGTCACTCTGTCCTTTGAAGCGAGGCACTGACCTCTTCTCTTGCCATGAAAGTACTAAAAGGCCTCTTCTTCCGGGAGAAGGCTGTTTTGCCTACATTGAAAATCTGTTATTTAGCGTAGCCACCTTCATTAAGTATCTCAGCCCGATCTTCTGGATTCCTTGTTGCGGCTTCTAAGGCAGCACTTGCTGCTTCACTTTGTACTTTGATGTTATGCAGGTAGCTTCAGTCCTTAAACCTCATGAACCAACCCTTGCTGGCTTCAAACTTTCTTTCTGCGACTTCCTCACCTCTCTCAGCCTTCCTAGAATTGAAGAGAGTTAGGACCTTGCTCTGGACGAGGCTTTGGCCGGAGGGAATGTTGTGGCTGCTTTGATATTTTGTCCAGACCACTAAAACTTTCTCCATATCAGCAACAAAGCTATTTTGCTCTCTTATCATTCCTGTGTTCACCAAAATAGCACTTTTAATTTCCTTCAAGAATTTTTCCTTTAAGAATTTTTCCTTTGCAGTCACAACTTGGCTAACTGTTCGGTGCAAGAGGCCTAGCTTTTAGCCCATCTGGACTTTCAACATGCCTTCGTCACTAAGCTTAATCATGCTTTTGAATTAAGGTGAGAGATGTGTGACTTCTCCTTTCACGTGGACACTCAGAAGCCACTGAAGTGTTATTAATTGGCTTCATTTCAATATTGTTGTGTCTCAGGGAGAGGGAGAGAGATGAGGGAGTAGCCAGTTGGTGTGGTCAGAAAACACACATTTATCAAGTTTGCTGTCTTATATGGGCACAGTTTGTGGCACCCCCAAACAATTACAATAGTAGCATTGATGATCACTGATCACAGATCACCATAACACACGTAATAACAATGCTGTTGGCAAAATGGCACCAAAAGATTTGCTTGATGCAGGATTGCCACAGATCTTCAATTTGCAAAAAACAGTATTTTTGCAGGGCCATAAAGTAATACACAATAAAACAAGGTATGTCTGTATTGAACTCCTACTCCTTCTTTTATAACTCAGCTCAGATGATCCAAGTCCAAGATAGAAACGCCACGATTCGGAGCAGCAGATAGTAATTACTTCTGTGAAGAGGGAGGAGAATCTAAGCTGTCATTAATTTTTTTAAAATTATGAGATATAACATACACACAGAAAAGAACATTAGATACATATGTTTATCTTAACACTTAGTTATAAGGGCGACACTCAAAAGACAGCCACCTAGGCGATGAATTAGAACATTGCCAAAGACCCAGTTGCAAATGCTTGTACTTGTCTCCTAGAGTATGTGTGCATAGATTTCTCTAGGTTTCAGACTTTAGGGTGGAAAACCCGAGTCATAGGTATATCTTCAACTCTTCTGACAAAGTTAAACTTTTTCAGAATGGCTGTGTCAATTTAATTACTTTCTAGAGACGCAGTTCTTATTTCTTGACATCTTTGCCAACACTTGATATTTGTTAGACTCTAAAAGCTTGGCAGGTCTGATAAATGGTATTTTGCTATGGTTTTAATTTGCATTTCCCTGATTACTAATTAGGTTGTGCACCTTAATGTTTCTCAGTTATTCAGATTTCTTTTTTCGTGAAGTACCTTTTTAAGTCTCTTGCCAGTTTTCTATGGTTGTTGTCTATTTTGTATTGATTTTTAGAAATTAATGAAAGCCTCCTCTGAATATTAGATTTTTATTGGATCTAAGTGTTTTAAATATTTTTTCCACTCTATAATTTGCTTTTTTGCTCTTTTTAAAAAAGTTTTTTATTTAAGTAATCTCTACACCCAATGTGGGGCTTGAACTCTTGACCCTAAGATTAAGAGTTGCATGCTCTTCCCACTAAGCCAGTCAGGTGCCCCAGCCTTCTCACTTTGTTAATATCTATTGACCTGATGTCCAAAATTTTAATGTAGTCAAACATATCAGTCTTTTCTTTATTCCATGGTCATGTAGATATTTTCATTATCTTCTAAAAGTTTTATAGATTTGCCTTTCACATTTGGGTATACCTGAAATTAATTTTTAAATACAGTCTTAGGGGCACCTGAGTGGCTCAGTCAGTTGAATGTCTGACTTTGGTTCAGGTCATGATCTTGCTGTTTGTGAGTTCAAGCCCCCTTCGGGCTTTGTGCTTACAGCTCAGAGCCTGGAGCCTGCTTTGGATTCTGTGTCTCCCTCTTTCTGCTCCTCCCTAGCTCGCACTCTGTCTCTCTCTCTCAAAAATAAATTAAAAAAAAAAAACATTAAAAAAATACAGTCTTGGGGTGCCTGGGTGGCGCAGTCGGTTAAGCATCCGGCTTCAGCCAGGTCACAATCTTGCGGTCCGTGGGTTCGAGCCCCGCGTCAGGCTCTGGGCTGATGGCTCAGAGCCTGGAGCCTGTTTCTGATTCTGTGTCTCCCTCTCTCTCTGCCCCTCCCCCGTTCATGCTCTGTCTCTCTCTGTCCCAAAAATAAATAAAAACGTTGAAAAAAAATTAAAAAAATACAGTCTTAGGTTGGGGTCCAATTTTGTTTCATGTCTCATGAAAATACAATTGTCCTAATGCCATTTGTAGGAAGGTCATCTTTTTCTCACTGCTATGTTATGCTATCTTTGTCATATATTAAATATCCACATATGCTTTGGTCTGTTTCCTTTTGTTTTTGATTCTCAGCTAAATCAAAGTGTGGTCAGAAAACATATTATATACGTCTAGTGTCTTGAAAACTTTCAAAATATTATTCTATGTGTAGTTATTTTTTTAATTTTTAAAAAATGTTTGTTTATTTTTGAGGGAGAGAGAGACAGAGTGTGAGTGGGGGGGAGGCAGAGAGAGAGAGAGAGAGAGAGAGAGACAGAATCCAAAGCAGGCTCCAGGCTCTGAGCTGTCAGCACAGAGCCTTATGGGGGGCTCTAACTCACGAACTGTGAGATCATGACCTGAGCTGAAGTCGGGTGCTTAACTGACTGAGCCACCCAGGCACCCCTATGTCTAGTTATAATGACTATTTCTGTAAATGTTCCCTAAATACTTGGAAAAAACCATGAACTTTGCAGCTACTTGATTAATAGTTCCATGGTATATCTTTTCCCTCTTTTTATTTTTATCTTTTTGATAACCTTAGGCTTTAGTTTTGTCTTTCTATAAACATTGTTTATTGGCATTTAAAAATTCTGTGTTACAATCTTTGCTGATTTTTTTGGAGCACATAGTCCATTTACATTTAATACAACTGTTGATGTATTTGTTTTCAAATATACTACATTACTCTGTCTTTTCTACTTGTTCCTCTTGTTCTATGTTTCTCTTATATCTTCTACCCTATCTTACTTTTTTGATTGTCTAATTATTTATTAGCTTATATCCCCCATCCTCATTTGGAATATACTATGTTTCTATTCTGCTAGCGGCAATCCTAGTAATTAATTCATGAATTCTTAACTTAGCAAAGTTTAATAATAATACAAACTTTTACTAGCCTGTCACTGTTGGAAATCTTGGGATTGCTTTATTTTTTATTTTTTATTAAACCTCAGCCTGTGTTCAGCTCCAGGCTGAGGATGTGTCTGACTAATTTTACATCCCCAGTGCTTGGGAAAGTGACTTCACCTTTGTCTTAAGGCAAATGCTCTAGCATACCAAGGCTCTGCTTACATCTTCTCATCTGTGTTGGCTGGATGTTCTTGAATGTTCTTGGCCACGTATGTCTCTGTGTTACACCGTTTAATGGATTAAAAAGTCAAGGTAGTGTTTATAGTGGAGGCATATTTTAAGGTTTCAGATATTTATACAGTCAACACTGCTGTTCTGTTTCTTGTTTCCCTTCAGCTCTGATTTTCCATCTGCCCTGGACCTCTAAGATTCGCTTAGCCTTGTAATTGGACCACCGGCTGAACTTTCAAGTAGATCTAGTGAAATTTTCAAGGACTAAGCTTGTGGGTTTTTTTTAAAGAGAATTTAGAGTCTTTATTTATTTAAAGCCATAGATTCAGTTTAGCTTTAATCTAAACAGAAAGTGAAAGACATTTTACAAGTGGAAGAGACAGCAAGAAATAAAGCAACAGCTAATATGTCAAAGCTGGAACAAGAACAGAGGTCAAGGTGTCTGGCTATTAGCAAAAAGGCCAAAATTTTTCTTCCTCTGGAGAGTCAGCATATCAAGTTCAGAAGTTAGGCAAAAGGATTTCCAAAAGGATCCCTATATACATCAGGAGATGTGGGTTGAGAAGCCATAGAGGTTTGCGATGAACTGAAAGAATCTTTAGAGAAAGGGTTCTCAAATGCATTGTCAGCAGATTTGGTAACTGGCAGGGAATCCTGTCTGGGAACTGGCTTTGGTGGTTCATTGGTCTTTTTCAGCAGTTGATTAGCATCAAAGTCATCATGGTCTGCATTCTCCTGAGGAATGCCAACTTTGCTCTTAAAATAACTGGAGAAGGCACTTGAAGTCCCGGAGGAAGTCTGCTCTCCCTTCCTTGCAGGCACAGCAGGTGGCTGCCGAAGTTGAAAGTCCTTAAACATTTCTTTCACTTCTTTGACTTCTTTATCCCCAAGTGGGTCCAAGGCAGTGAAGGCATCACTGGAGGTGTCCTTTGGAGGGCCAGTTCTGGGAGGTGGTTGAGGAGGAGTGACCAGGAGAGAGGAGAGCATAGGAGGGGACTGGGCAGACATAGTAGAAGTTGGAAAAATATTGCTCTGGAAAGGGTTCCCCAAAGGGCTTGTTGATGACCAAGTATTGGGTGCCACAGAGGCTGATGGGCCCCAAACAACAGGGCCTGGAGGGGGAGTTAAAGCTGCAAAGATGAAGGCTACTTCCAACTTGGAACAGCTGGGCTTTTGGTAAAAACAACTGGCTGACTGAATCCTGAAGGCTGACCACTCATTGTGGCTCCCGGTACCACTGACACGGACTGATTGAAGACTAAAGATGTTGGATTCCATGGTCCTGCCTGGGGTGGGGGGTGGGGGGGTTGCTAACTGGTATACCACCTAAACCCGCAAGGGGTCCCACTGCGGTAGAAGCATTTGTTTTAAAGAGATCCAGAGGGTTGGTCTGTAGGGTTGCAGATTGTCCTGTAGGTGATGTCTGGCTGGGAAGTTCTGAGATGGGAGGGGTAAAGATGTCTGATGCAAGCAAGTCTTTTGCTGGAGACTTAGCAGTCCTTCTGCTGGTACTGGTTAGTCCTGGTTTGGTACTTTGTGGAAGTGGGATAATGGCTATAGGGTCATGTGGTGAGGACTGGACAGAGCTTTCCAAGTCCTGCTTTACGCCATTCGGTATGGACAGTCCTTTGGGAGGGCTTCCCACAAAAGGCTTCGGGGAGGATTTGACATGGAAGCCGTTCTGTTCTCTTTCAGATATCCCATTTTGAGTTCTCACTGCTGGCTGTGTTTGTGTACTTGAAAAGGGCCACAGGCCTGCCTGAGCTTCCTGTTTGCCAGTCAGGTTAGAGATTTGGTCAAACTGCTGACCAAAGTAGTTAACATCCCCATTCAGGGGCCTGTTACTCAGTGGAGTAGACAAACTACTCAAATTCTCTTTCTTCTGATCTGAAGATTTGAGAGAATCAAATGAAGAGGGTGTCGATGGGCCTGGCTGTGCAAAAGGATCATCATGGAAAGGATCAGGATTAGGGGTGGGAAAGAAGTTGAGATTGGCAGAAAAGGCATTTTCAGGCAAGAAAGCTGCCTGAGGCTTTGGTCGAGGAAGAGAGCAGGAGGTAATGCCATTTGTTAAGAATGGATTTTCTCTTGGGGCGCCTGGGTGGCGCAGTCGGTTAAGCGTCCGACTTCAGCCAGGTCACGATCTCGCGGTCCGTGAGTTCCAGCCCCGCGTCAGGCTCTGGGCTGATGGCTCAGAGCCTGGAGCCTGTTTCTGATTCTGTGTCTCCCTCTCTCTCTGCCCCTCCCCCGTTCATGCTCTGTCTCTCTCTGTCCCAAAAATAAATAAACGTTGAAAGAAAAAAAAAAAAAAAAAGAATGGATTTTCTCTTAAAGAATTCTGCTTGGTGTCGATTTCAGGGTTTAGATCCACTAACAGGATATCTTTGTTTTCTGCTGGACTATTTAGGTCAGGAGGTGTAGACATGTCCCCAAACAAATCCATCTGGTCAACACCCAATTTTAGTTTGTTAGCTTGGTCATCAAGGGTCAGTAGGGTCTCACTCCTGTTCTCTAGTGCCTTGTTGGCTTCTTCCATCTTTTTCTTTTCTTCTTCCTTTTTCTTTACATTGTAGATAACTTGAAAGAGGTCTTTAAGATCAACAACTAATGGCTCAGCCTGTTGTCCTGTTTTTATGACAAAAAAACTGATGCTGTCCTTCTCCTCCACACACATAACCAAACGCCTGGTTGTCTGTCACATCACGGGCAACGAAAGAAATTTTATTTACTGGGTGTTCATGCTCTATTACCCCAGTTGTTCTCATCAATTATTTTTATCCCAGAAAGGGAAATGTTGACCCAGATCCTTTGTTTGTGTTGTCCTTGAGACCAACCAGCTGCCGCCATTCCCTTTATTTCATCATAGAATCTTGGCTCATTTTATCCCCTCTTGCATCATGCACATCATCAATGCCAATCAGCTTGGCCTTGTATTTTACACCATCACCTTTGAATCTGGCCAAAGGATGCTCATCTGTCTTTTCAGAGCCTTTTTTTTCCTTCTTCGATGGTGCTTTTGGTGCAGCCTGTTGGTCAGGCTGACCATTAGTTGTGCTTGTTTCTACTTCGTTAGACACGGCAAGAAGGCAGACAGCCACCTCCAGCACCAGCAGACGCTTAGTGACACCAGGCAATCCCCGAAGTCTCAGATGAACATAACCTGCCACAGATACCTATCTGTCCCTGAAGACAGTAGGTAAGACCTCTTCCTGAAGCCTCCCCACGTCCCCTCCAGTTCAACTTAAAATAATCTGGGTAAAAGGGTTCGTTGGCCATCTTTGGAGCCTAATATTGTACTTTTCTGCAAGGTATTATTTCTTTCTCCCAAGGTCTAAAGAGCAAACCCCTCATTGCAGGCTTTCTGAATGTCCAGTCTACCATTTGACAAGCAGTAGATGGAAGAAGTCTTGCTTCTAGACTCAGGTCCCTGGCCAGCTAGCGCCTCTGCGAAGCGAGCATGACTCCCGGGTGCCGAGCCTCCAGGCTGCCACAGAGCTGACATGGTGGGCCGCGCTTAAATAGCCAGCGGCCCGGGAACCTGGGGAGCCGGGCGGCCACTCCTGGCGAGATATGGTTCTAATCAGTAAGCTTGTGTTTTTAGTGAATAGATTTCTGAAAACTCTGTGCAATGCAAGCTGTGTATATTGAATTACTTTTCCAGTGGTTCCCATAATAATTTGGGAAATGCATCTGTATAGAAAAAAGGTGGGGTGTGTTAGTTTGCTAGGGCTGCTGTAACAAAGTACCACAAACTAGGTGGCTTAAAATAACAGGCACGTATTCTCTCCCAGTTCTGGAGGCCAGAATATTGATGGGTCTATGCTGTCTCTGAAGGTTCTAGAGAAGAATCCTTCTTTGTCCTTTCCTAGTTTTTGGTGGTTTCCAGCAATACTTGGCATTCCTTGCTCGCAGCCACACCACTCTAATTTCTGCCTCTGTCTTCACAAAGCTTGTGTGTGTGTGTGTGTGTGTGTGTGTGTGTGTGTGTGTGTTTTCACATGACATTCTCCTCTCTGTGTGTCTATGTTCAAATTTCCTTCATGTTTTAGAGATATTCATCACTGGATTAGGGCCCATTTAAATCCACTATTATTGCATCTACAAAGACTCTATTTCCAAATAAGGTCACATTTGCAGGTACCATGGCTTAGAACTTCAACATATCTTTTTCAGGGGTAGGGGGGGAACAACTCAAGTCACAACCTGGGGCAAAAAATGGATCAGGAATATCTTTGAGAATAATATCATCTACTTAATAAAACTAGTCTGATGATTGGGTACATTTCGTTCTTCCACATAACATATAAAAACAAGCCATTCCCCAAGTTCTCTGTCCATCCAGCTGTCTTAGATGGCATTTAATTAAATTCATGGGATTTAGATGTTGAAGAAGTGGCACCATCAACATCTGTGCTCCCTGGTTCAGAGAAACCAGGGAGGAAGAGCCATTTTGTTGAACTCATCCTTAAGATACAAATCACGCATCCAGAGAACATCTGATTTGTCCTGGGATAGCCCATGCCCTCAGGTATTCCATCATCACCATATTAACCTCCATCTGTGGGTGCTGACAAACCCCCAACAAGCATCTTGAAAGCCACTTTGGCCTCTGATGGGCCAACAGTGACAGAGAAAGGAGATCCAGGTTTCAGAAAATCTATCCATGAGGCATGTATGGCGGACTAGTCTCTAGGCTTTGTAATTGTATAAATGGGAAGTCTTAAGACATGATTAAATATATATATCAGCAAATTTACCTGTTCCTTGTTATTGTGGCAGGAAATGTCCCAAGGGCTAATAGAAGATCATGGCTGTCATTAAGATCCTTTATACCCTATGTTGTCACATGAACTCTTTGCTCTCCTTCATCTTAAGACCCGCCACATTCTTTGGGCTGAATATTATCTTCTGACAATCCTTTCTTCACTCACTGCTTAAGTCCAATGAGTTGTTTGGGGCTTAGTTCCCATTATCGCTTGTACTTAGAGCATACCTGTCATAGAATAGTTACTTAATCACATTTGTAGGATGAATTTAAGAAAATATTGACCATACCTTTTATCTCTCAGTTCATCTTTTTCAAAATGTCCCTTTTCTTTTGATTATACTAATAATGGAAACTTGGCCCAAGAGAAATGTGAAAACTTTCCTTCTTAAGGTCTGCTTATGAGATGTGAAACTGGTTCTGGAATGTATCCAAAAGCTGCCTCTTTAGCCACACAGCAGGAAAGTCTGACCATTGGCAGCTTTAGGAGAGAGTGTTTTCCTCGTCTAAACTGGAACAGAGCGCGACTGAGTTCTATAACAGGAAATGCAAGGGTTATAGAGAGTGTCCATTTTGTCTCCTGCCTCCCACCAATATTACAAGAGGCAGGTTCAGAGGGGAAAGAGTGTGGTGCAGGTGGCATGGCAGTTGGTGGAGTACTTAGGATTAGAACAAACTTTCAGGACAGTGCTACTTCCTGCCCCATCCAGACTCAAGCTCAAACTGCAAAATAGTATCAGGAAACCTGAAAGCGAAGAAGTGATTTATGACAAATGTCAGTATCATACAATTTTTTAAAATGATGCTTTAAGATATAATATTGGCCTTGATATACCTTTAAAAATATTAATTTTAATGGATATCTCAAAGGCCTTTCGTGACATAGACCACAGATGTTACCCTGGGCAGGAACAATTGTCTGGCAATTCTCAACATGCAGTCATGCAGAATCCTAAATAAGATTGCCAATCCCTATGTGGTGTTTCACAGAGGACTACCTTGGACCTTCAGCAACATCCTTGCCATAGATCTTTGGAAGTTCTGGTCCTGAGAAGTTTGTCACAGTAGATGTAAGCTCTGGTCACAATGAAAATAAGAGGACCAAGGACATTTTCTGGAAAGTAAGAGAATACATCATCTGACATTGAAATTCAAAAGGGTAGTCACAGTGGAGATGCTCTAGGCTTCTGACTCCTGTGGGCATATGAAGGCTTCTGCAAAGGTGGGTGCCAATTGTGTTCTCTTCCCGGTTCTGACACTGACCGGTGGCATGCATTGATGAGGGGGTAGCTGGGTGCCACCTGTAGTGGGAAAGAGTTATCACAGAGCAGAAGGTCACATCAGAACTGGTTATGTCCATGCTAGAGTGTCCTCACTAGGGCCCAGGGGCAGTTGCTTTCTTACTGGTAGCTTCATCTTCATTCTGCATTGAGCTGGATGTGCTCATGTTGACTTGATCACTAAGGCCTCTAGTGACACTGTCATAGGATGGTGGGAAAGATACAGCAGACACACTTTCAGATTTGTCTGGGAGGGCACAGTTTTCATTTGCCATGAATCCAACAAAGGCTTCATCTGGGGGTGACACAGCCTCCTCCTCAGCCCTGGGCACACCTGGAGGGCTGGAGATTGTCTTGGAGCGGTGCAGCACATAGCTCCGATAGGCCTTTTGAATGACAGTAGCCGAAATGTCTTCTTGCTTCCACCGGAGGGTGGTTGCTATTGGTTCATAAGATGCTTTTGAAACATTAGTTGCCATAAACTTCTCTTCAATGTTTGCCTTCAGAGAATCCAACTCCCCAGATTCTCCCAGAACATTCTTAGTGAAGGCAAAAAGAATGTCCAAACAGTGGATCTTATCTCCAGGGACCAAGGGCAGGTCCATCTGGATTAATATATTCTGATTGGGTTTTGGGATTCGCAGGGGGCCAGAGAGGGTGTCTGCAAAGTCCGAGAGGGCAGAAAAGGTAATAAACTGAGTGGCTTCCGGGTCAAACTTCTCCCAGGTCTCATAAAACATGTCAAAGTCATCCTCACTCAGAGGTTCACTGCTCTCCTGTGTGGCCACATTGAAGTTCTCCAGAATCACTGCGATGTACATGTTGACCACAATGAGAAAGGAGATGATGATGTAGGTGGTGAAGAAGAGGATGCCCACGGCCGGGCTCCCACAGTTCCCCCGGGAGCCGTTGCTGTTGGGCAGATTGGGGTCGCAGTAGGGGGGCCCTGTGTTGAGGATGGGGCTGAGGAGGCCGTCCCAGCCGGCCGACGTGGTGATCTGGAAGAGGCACAGCATGCTGTTGGCGAAGGTCTGGAAGTTGAACATGTCGTCGATGCCAGCCTCCCACCTTACATGGGGGAAGCTGGCCATGCCGAAGATGGAGTAGATGAACATGACGAGGAAGAGCAGCAGCCCTATGTTGAAGAGGGCAGGCAGGGACATCATGAGGGCAAAGAGCAGCGTGCGGATCCCCTTGGCTGCTCGGATCAGCCTGAGGATGCGGCCGATTCGGGCCAGGCGGATGACTCGGAATAGTGTTGGGGAGAAGTAATTTTCGAGTGACGTCAGAATCGCAGAAAATACCAGGCCTTTAGGAAGAGAGGAAAATGATCTAATTAGTACTTACAAGCATGAGCCTTGACAAAGCTGGCCGCAGTCACACTCTCCCGTCTCTGCTCTGTATGGACCTCCATGTGAGGATCTGTAATCAAGTACTCTGGGCCCTCTGAGCATTACATGGTGATTGGCATAATGTGGGGGCTCTGTACATGCTCACTGCATAAATCGTTTGTCTCTGAAATAAGTCCCATCCTTCCCACCATGTTCTTATCTTTCTTTCCTTCCATCTGGAATGTCTTCCTCTTAGTCAACCTCCATGGTCAAAGCCCTACCTTCTGAAGCCTAGCTGGAAGTGATGGCACCATATTCCACATACACACAGTCCTTGTCCATTTCTGTCTATGACACAGGTCCTACTCTTCCTTGAGAATTCAGCCTTGGGACATGCCTTTTCCTCCACCCTTGTCCTGTGCTCTGTGAAGGTCAGGGTCCCTTGTGATTCATTTCCCCATCTCCTACTGGGAAGATTGACTTAGTTCCTGGCACATGGTCCTGTGGATAATTGTACAGAGCCTGGTGTTAATTACAAGGGGGGCCTGAGGAGTTGGGCAACTTGCTGACAGCTAAAGCAGAA